CGGCCCCCCCCCCCCACACACACACAAGACACACACACACATGCATACACGCACACATACATAGAAGCATAGAAACACATAAACATACATACGTTCACATATTTAGACATTAGTGTATAATAACTAACATAAATATTTATAAAACTAGGGTACATAAATCTATCGGATGTATCAATATAGAAAGATAAGCCTGAGAGTAAATATATAGTTAAACACACTCTCTCTCACACACACACACAATACACACACATACACACACCCACAAACGCTCAAATACATATATACACACTCATGTATATGTATATGTGTGTTGTGTGCAGGTGTATGTGTTGTATATCTATGTATATGAATGTATATGGTGTGAATGTTTGTTTGTGTGTGTGTGTGTGTGTGTGAGTGTGAGTGTGTGTGTGTGTGTAAATATGGCTGCTGACATTGTAGCCAGCCAATATGTTTGGCTTGTAGTGATTGGATCGACCCTTTTGCTCGAAGCTTTCAATAACATTTTAATTTATTTTTCAAAATATTTTTCTCTTGAAGCAAATTTCTGATCTAATGTTCGAAACTTCGCTCTTCAACTTTTCTCATATTATATCATATAGGCGGCTGGATAGTACAATGGTTAAAGAAGTTTCAATGTTGAAGTGATAGTGGAATAATAATAATAATAATAATAATAATAAATGATGGTGGAATAAATATACATACATACAAATGTATGTATGTATATTTATGTATGCACGTATCGATCCGTTATGATGATATTCATATTTGAAAACCAGGCCTTTCCAATATGTTTTACGACTAGAGCTATATGTGTGTGGCTAGTTTGATGTATTTCTATGTTGTTTGTATGTCTGTTTGTATGTCTGTTTGTATGTCTGTTTGTATGTATATACGTTTTTTTGTATGTTTGTTTGTATGCATGCATGTTTGTATCTGTATGTACAAACAAACAAACACAAACACAAAAAAAACATATATTTATTGCCAGAAGATTCAAACAAATGAACATGAATACAATAAAAACATACAAACAAATGAACAAAAAAGCATAAAAACAAGCAAACATATATACATACAATCGAACATACAAACACACATACATATATACAACTTGAAAATGAAAGCAATAAATACAAACAAACACACGTCCGAGAAACATACATAAACCTCCTTATTGAACTTAACATTGAGTAAGTTTTTCAACAAAAAATTTGTATTTATATGCGTTTGTACGTATGCATGTGTGTGCATGTATGTATGTGTGTGTATGTATGTATGTATATGTTTATGTGGGTATGTATTAGCTATGTATTATATGTATTTGTGTGTATAAATATATATGAGTGTGTGTGTGTGTGTGTGTGTGTGTGTGTGTGTGTGTGTGTGTGTGTGAATATATAATAGGAGTAGACGTTTTGACTTGAGTTTTATTGGATGTTCGAAGAATTGATTGATGAGCCGACAAATTTATTATTATTGCTATTATTATTATTATTATCATTATTATTATTATTATGATTATTTTTAATATTGTCATTGTGAAAAATTGTTTAAAACAATTTTATTTGCCATAAATTTTTCAATTTTTTTTGTTATATTATCTATAATAATTGATAAAAACATATCAAACTACTACTACTGCAACAACAACAACAACTACTACAACTACTACAACTACTACTACTACAACTGCCACTACTACTATTACTACTACTACTACTACTACTAATAATAATAATAATAATAATTATAATAATAATAATAAAAATATTAATAATAATAATAATAACAATAATAATAACATTAATAATAATAACAATAATAAAAAACAAAATACACCATCATAATGACAGCATATAAGTATTCATGAAGTAAATTCATTAGGGGATTTAAACTTCAGGAATTTTTTTTGCTCCTTCCTTTTTTTTCCCTCACTTCCTTTCACTCTCTCTCTCTTTCTCACTCTCTTTATCTTTCTATTTCTCTCTCTCTCTCTCTTTTTCATTCGGTTTTCTTTTTTTACTCTTTCTTTTATTGTTATCTCTTTGATTATTTTTTCACTTTTCTCTTCGTAAGTTATTGCATTCGCTTTACATTTTTTTTTCTTTGAAAGTTTTAAGTTCTCTCTCTCTCTCTCTCTCTCTCTCTCTTTCTATCTCTCTCTCTCTCTCTCTTTCTCTCTTTCTATCTCTCTCTCTCTTTTTCTTTCAATTTCATCTTTCTTCATTTTTCGGATTTCAAATTAATTACAGTTCTTTTTTATTATTTTTTTTTTCATAACTACTATTATATATTTATTTATAATCTTTTTCCGTTCCTCTTTTTTCACTTCCTTTTTCTTTCTTTCCGTCGGCCGCTCTTTCTCTCGATCATTTCTTGCTTCTCATTTACTTCCGAGAAACTGTCAGAGCCGCATCGTCATCATAATCATCCCTACCGCCACCACCATCGTTATCATCATTACCACCATCATCATCATCTTAACCACTACAACCATAATCAGCATCATCACCATCGTCGTCATCATCATCATCATCATCATCATCATCAATCTTGATAATAATTATAATGATGATGATGATGATGATGATGATGATGATGATGATGATGATGATGTTTCCGAGCTTATAATCTGACTGAATATAACTGTGATGATTATGTCGGCGATGTAATAATGATGACGACGACGATGATTATTTTTATTATTATTCTTCTTATTATTATTATATTATTATTATTATTTTATTATTATTCTTCTTATTATTATTATATTATTATTATTTTATTATTATTATTGTTTGTATGTTTAAAAAAAACTCTTAACGTGAATTCTCTGGCTAACTGGGATTTTTATTTTCCGTCTAAAAGATGAAAAAAATTGTGGAAAAATTATGGTGAGACAGATATATATATATAATTATTCATAATTATCTATAATTATCCATAATTATCTATAATTATTCATAATTATCTATAATTATTCATAATTATCTATAATTGTTCAAAATAAAACAAATTATAATCACTAATAATAATAATAATGATTAAGTATATATTGATTTATTTATTCTTTATGGATTTTAATGATATCCGAATGGGTGAATTAGTACGAATATTCATTTAAATAAAGTTAATGGTAATTATTAATTAATAATATATATATATTAATAATTAATAATAATTATACGTAATAAAGTTATGAATAATTTTTGTGTTTCTGTGATAATTAATTAGAGATGAGATGCTCTTTACTGCCGTATATGGAAACGTCAATTTTGTTGTTGTTGTTGATGTTGTTGTTGTTGAGATAATCATTGTTGTTGTTGTTGATGTTGATGTTGTTGTTGTTGAGATAATCATTGTTGTTGTTGTTGATGTTGTTGTTGTTGTTGAGATAATCATTGTTGTTACTGTAGTTGTTGTTGTTGACGTAATTATCATTGTTGTTGTTCTTTATGGAAAATAATTCTTTGTTGTTTAGTTCACAGATATAGTCGATGTTGAAATTGTTACTACTTACGTCATTAATGCTGTTACTGTTATTATTAATGTTATTGTTGTTGTTGATGTTGTTGTTGATGTTGTTGTTGATGACGTAATCGCAACAATAGTCGCCGTAAGCGTCGACGCAAACGCCGCTACATTTACCACCATCTCGGCAACTAGCGATGCTATAATTACGACTCCCGACGTTACCGGTATTGATGTTACCGACAGCGATATTACCGAACTCACTGGCCTGTAGCATTCCCGGCTCGTAATCGGCTGTCTCTACCGCCGATATTTCTCGGTATCGGATCTGCCAGCGATATTTGAGGCATTTGATCCTTTTGCAAACCTGTGTGACATAACAGGTGATGCCAACACACACTACACCGCCGAGTAGGCAAAGAATCGCCAAGATACCGACGATTATTTTACCGTCCTGGCTCGACTTTGTCGGTATTTGTTGGAAATTATTATTATTATTATTATTGTTGTTGCTGTTGTTTATGGGCATGAAATCAACATTGTTGTTGTTATTATTGTTGTTGTTGTTGTCATTTTTGTTGCTGTTATTGTCATCGACGCCTTCAGCTCCATCAGCACCCTCGTTGCCAACAACCCCATCCTTATCCCCCTCACCCCCACCAACATTCACCATCTCTCCACTACTCTCAACTGGGCAGGTGACCAAATCGCGAGCAACATCGGCATCGAAGATGGGTAGGCCGTAGACTTCGGGAGGGAAATCGCAGAGGTAGTCTGGGGTAGTTTGGTCCTTGGGGGCGAGGACCGCGGTCTGGGAGGTGTTGGCCCAGCGGAGGAATGACGCGAGGTCGCAGGTGCATTCGAAGGGGTTGTCGCCCGCCTCCAATTCTTCCAGGTACTCCAGTTTATTCAGGGTCTGCCAGGGTGTGGTATGTTTGTTGGAGTGTGTGCGTATGTATGTGTGTGTGTGTATGTATGTGAATGTGTGTGTATGTGTGTGTATGTGTGTGTATGTGTGTGTGTGTATGTGTGTGTGTATGTGCGTGTTTGTATGTGCGATGGATTGTGATAAGCATGGAATAATGGATAGATAAAGAGGTGGATGGATGAATGAAGCTAGAGAAATAGGCGGGAAATTAAAGGCATCGTAAAATGAATATGGTGTGATTATTATTATTCTTATATGTGATCAGAGTGAATGAGTGAGTGAGTGAATGAGTGAGTGAATGAGTGAGTGAGTAAATGAGTGAGTGAGTGAGTGAGTGAGTGAATGAGTGAGTAAATGAGTGAGTGAGTGAGTGAGTGCAGAGTGAATGAGTGAGTGAGTGAATAAATGAATGAACAATTAGAATGTATGGATAAGTGAATGAATAATTGATTAATTAATGATTGAATAACTGATTGAATTAAAAAAATATCTGTAGAAAAAGCGAAATAAAAAGTGAATTGATGAACGAACGAATGAACGAACAAACAGACAAATAAATAAAAAGATGATTAAATAAATAAATGAACAAGCTAAAGAACGAACGAACAAACAAGCAAACAAACAAAGAACTTCAAGCGATTGAACGAACACACAAAAAAGATCTGAAATAAATAACACCTCCCCAAATCTTGGAAACAAAAACAAACAATGAAACCGGCAAATAATTTACATTTGCAGATTGCCTGGCTAGATTGTATGTATGTTTGTATGTATGTTTGTATGTATGTATGTGTGTTTGTATGTGTGTTTGTATGTTTGTTTGTTTGTATGTATGTATGTATTTGTGTGTGTATGTGTGTGTGTTGTGTGTGTGTGTTCATAGATCACATCTTCAGGCCCGACTAGGCATGGACAACAAAGTTGTTAAGATCAAATGTCAATGAAAAACGAGAAAATTGATGAATGATGGATGATTTGATGGATAAATAAATGAAAAAAAATGAATGGATGGATGAAAAAATGAATGAACGAACGAACGAATGAAAGAATGAACTAACGAATGATCGACAAACGATTCAAAGAACAGTCCAAACGGAGAAATCCAATAAAATTAAAAAACGTATCAAAATACAATATGTTCAAATTAGATAGCAGTTCGTCATAGCTACAAAGATAAAAAATAAACAAAGAATAAACAAAGAATAAACAAAAACAAAGACAAAAACCCAAAAAAAAAAAAAAAAAAAGACAAATGAAAATATAGAGGAATGCAAATAAATACAATAAAGAAAAAATTATATCTTGATGCCAGCAGGATATAAAACATTGAATCGAAAAGTGAAACACACCCACACCACACAAACACACACACATACACACATACGAACATACACAAACAAACACACACACACACACACATACATACGTACATACACATACATACACACACAAACACACACTTACATACAACACATGCAAAC